CGATTTTTCATCTTGAGACCTACAAAAGCTACAGGGCTGAAACTTTGGGAACTTAATCTACATGCATGTACGGGCCTCCATCCTCAAAATGGGCGGTCTTGGCAGCGTGGTACTCACGTAAGGGCTCGTGGAAGTGTTTCGCAAGTAAGTCGCTAATTCGGGAATCAGGAAAGCTAGAGAGCTGAAATTTTAAGGGAATGTTTTCTGACAGCTCTGGTGGCCAGTCTTAATTTGTTTAGCTAGAAGCATTTGCCGGAAAAACCGGTGCCGGTAGCGATAAAAACTGCGGGGAACTTTGCAAAAAACGCATCTTCGTACGGGCAGCCTGTGGAAAATTATTTTAATTTAATTATTTTAAATTAAACCAATTATTTAACCAATTATTTTAATTCAACTACAGAATTACGAAAACTTGGGAGCTGCAATTTTTGCAACATAATTCACGATCGAGTATGAGACTGCATAATTGACTTGCAGCCTTGACTTGTTGCTCCTTGCTTTGAAATTCAAGCTGACTACAAGCAGTAAAGCAAGGCGCAGTTTCATAATATTGATACATGTAAATTTCAGTGGACGTAAGAGATTTCTTTGACGCAGTTGATTTTTATGCATTTTTGCGCTCATGCAAATGCAGAAATGCATAATGGCAAGAGGCTTTGTGTGTGTCTGTGTATTCGCACTTTTAGTTACCCACTTTCAACTCGAGAACAAGAAAAGCTAGAGAGCCGAGACTTCCGGATTATGTGCCCATCACCTGTACGACCCTTTCTTTTTAATATCGTCACCTGCGTGTGCCTGGGTCTCACGTACGAGCGCCCAAAAAATACGCGAATTTTTTGGCGGGAAAGTGATCTCAGGAAGCAGTCAAGATAAAGAGCTGAAACTTCGCATGGATATTCTCTATGCATTGTAAGCCAAGGATTTCAAATTCAGCCCTTAGGTGTTCATGGTTCTCACATACAGGCATGTGAAGGATTTGGCGGAAAAATTGCTAACTCGGTAGCTAGAGAACCTAGAAACTGAAAATATAAGGTGATATTCCCCGTTTAAGTGCAACTTAATATTTCAAATTCAGCCTTCGGGTGTGTGTTAGTTACTCAGGCGCAGGCACTTAAAAATCTTGGCGGGAAAATTGCTCTTTGAACAGCTAGGTTACCTTCAGTGAACGACCGTTAAAAGCAAATTATTCATTTTCTTTATACAAAATTTATGATGATTTGCGCTAGTGAGCACAAAAGATGTGAAATAGCAGCCGTAACGACTTAATTGCTTCAATTTTTGTGCAAAAACGCTTGGTCGCACCGGCAAGCCTGGTGCGCTGCTGCCTGGGTTTCGTAATTTTTTTTTTTTGCTTTATGCCTGCAAATGTGCCTGATTGTCTGCTGCTCAATGGTATTTGCAAACTTAAAATTTTCTCGAAAATTCTGTTGCTCTGTTTCGGCAACCGCAATCAGTCCTGAAATATTTGAAGGCCGTGTTCGAGATGGATGTGTAAAAAATTAAAAAAATCCTAGGACTTGAAACTAATTTTCTTAGGACCTGGAATCTTTTTAGGAGTTGAGATCAGCATCTGGGTATTTCTATCGCAACTTCGACCATTCGTTTAAGAGACATAGCTTTTTTTAGATTATTCATCGAGATTTGGCCGCACGCAACGTTTTAGTGGCTGATGGTTTCGTAATGAAAATTTCGGATTTTGGTTTGTCAAGGGATGTGCATTACAATGATTATTACCGTAAGAAAGGAAACGGTCGCTTGCCGATCAAATGGATGGCGTTGGAAGCCCTGGATTCTCATGTTTATACCATCTACAGTGACGTGTAATGATTTTAGCGCCGTTATCCAAGTAGTATCCCATAATAGTCATCCTGAATACAAAACAAAGCCAAGAGTTAATATTTTCAGCAGTCCTTATTTGTTGATTGTGTTGTAGCTGGTCATTTGGAATACTGCTGTGGGAAATAATGACTCTCGGTGGCACGCCTTATCCGTCAATTGCAATGCAGCAGCTGTATTCTTGCCTCAAAGAAGGCTATCGAATGGAGGCACCAGACAACTGCCCCGAGGAAGTATATGATGTTATGGTAGCTTGTTGGCAGGTCAGCTACTTGCTGTAGGCAGTTTTCTTGAGAATTTGGAGCAAAATCGGCTTAATTATGATCAACGGTGTTAAGTTGCAGAAAAGCTGTTTTACTGTCTGAATTGAAAGAGTTTTTATCGCTATTTTTCATTTTTATAATTTGATCTTTTTTTTCTAGAAAGCTAAAAAATTGGCCAAGTTCCTATGTTCCTAAAACTTTCTTCATTTTTCAGGAGAAGCCGGAAAATCGTCCAAGTTTTGATACGCTTGTTGACTATTTTGACTGGATGCTGACACAGTCTGCTCGCGATCATGAAGTGCCTTTTTATGCGTTTTTGCTGTGCAGCGCTGCTGCAGCCAGTAAAAACACATATTGTCGAGAGGCTGTCTGTCTGTGTGGCTATAGCGCTGCTACAACCAGCAAAAACGCATATTGTCGAGAAGCTGTCTGTGTGTGTGTGCGTGCGTGTGTGTGTGTTCGCAAAGCGAGTGCATTTTGTCACCCACTTTCAACTCGACAACCAGGAAAGCTGGGCTGTGTGCGTGCGCAAAGCGAGTGCATTTTGTCACCCACTTTCAACTCGCAACCAGGAAAGCTGGGGGCCTGAAACTTCGGATATATGTTCCTACCCCGTGTGTCATCCTCCCGTTTTAAGATGTTCCCCCATACGCGCCTAACTTCGGATATATGTTCCTACCCCGTGTATCATCCTCCCGTTTTAAGATCTTCCCCCATACGCGCCTTAATCGGATATATGTTCCTACCCCGTGTGTCATCCTCCCGTTTTAAGATCTTCCTCCATACGCGCCTAAATCCCGCTAATGAGACATATGTTCCTACCCCGTGTGTCATCCTCCCGTTTTAAGATCTTCCCCCATACGCGCCTAAACCCCGTGCACGAGACATGTTCCTACCCCGTGTGTCATCCTCCCGTTTTAAGATCTTCCCCCATACGCGCCTAAACCCCGCGTACGAGACCCCCAAAGGAATTTGTGTTCCTACCCCGTGTGTCATCCTCCCGTTTTAAGATCTTCCCCCATACGCGCCTAAACCCCGCGCAAGAGACCCCTAAAAGAATTTGTTGGCGGGAAACTATTTCGGCGAACCAGGCAACGTAGAAGGCTGAAACTTTGCAGGGACATTCTCTATGCACGTACGAGACAAAGGTTTTAAACTCAGCCCTCTAGCTAGCAACCACAA